GTTAATAACTTTTTTGAAAATAAACTTATAATATTTATATTTCATGGAATGATGTGTCTTGTAGTGCTTAAAATAGGGTTAAAATTTCAAAGTGATCGGTCCAATAGTTTAAAAGTTATTTTATTTGTTTATCCCAAATTAACATTTTTTGCAACAATATAAGTCAGAAATTTATACAGTTTTAGAAATTGTAAGGGTTGTTTCTGGTAGAAGAAGACTTGTTTTATTATTCACATTAAAAAAAATTAGGAAAATTAATTTTAAATATTGCAAAATAATTTTGCAAAAACATGTCGATTTTTTGCTTATAAACAATTAGAATAACTTTTTAACCATTGACTGTAAAAATATTATTTTTACATATATAGTGATATAAAATACAGGGTGTTCTATTTAAAATTACCAAGAAAATAATGTACTTGCATTTTGACTTGTATTTGACCCTGTATTTGATTTAACGAATATTATGAAAACGAATATGTTTTATAATTTTTAACAATTATTAAAAAACTATGGTTGCAATAGATCAATGGTCCTATACTCCTTCTTAATTATACGGGGAGTTAAACTTAATACGATCTTCAGGTAATATTGGTTATATCTTTTTAAATACCCAGTATAACATAATAAAACTTTACATTGTTGTGATGTGGAAGTGAAGCAGATTTTTAAATTTAAAATAAAATACAGGGTGTTTCATTTAAAAAAACATGAGTTTGGTCTGCCACAATCTTATAGAACACCCTGTAAGAAGTTTGTAACTAATTTAAAAATGTGGAGTTTAAAGCTGTCTACAATTTTTGTCAATAACTTTTTTTTGTAATTTTTACTTAAACAGATCTACTGAGCTTCCTTACCCTAATCAATCACCCAGAAGAAAAATTCAGAAAAATTTTCCAACCAAATTTTCTACCAAGTAACCAAAAACAAAGTTTGATTAATTTGTTAATGTTCTGTATTCTGAGAAAGATTGCCGAAGTAGAAATCGAAACGTCAAAAATAAACTTATTATAAACTTAAATTGTGGCTTATTACCCAAAGTACTTTTGTTTTACATTCAAACTTAAATTAAATACTGTTCTGAAGCTATTTTCTTGTGCATTGTAAATTAATTACTATTTATAACTGGGAATAAGCCACAATTAAAGATATCTTTAATTGTGGCTTATTCCCAGTTATAAATAGTAATTAAATTAAATACTATTAAAAAAATTTAAAAAAAATTGTTTTTAAACAAATTAGGTGGTTTATTTGACAATTTATTTATTGAAATAACGCATATTCGTAATGTACGCAAAAAGTACATACAAGTTCAAAAAGAAACGTTGAAATACATAAAAAAGGAACAGAGATATAGTTAACATCGCCTTCCCCCTCCCTTCAGCTCCCGAGAGTTTCAAAGCCGACCGATTTTACATACATTTTGAAGCTTTGTATAGGATTCCATTAAAGGGTAATAATTTTTAAAATTAGTACTTTAAAACTATAATATATATTCTTTTAAATAGCGCTAATTAGATTTCTTAATTGTTATAAACAAAGGTGCTATGAATTAAATAAAAAAAGAGGCTAACTTTGTATCAAAATATTTTAGGACAAAACGTTTTTTATTTAAATTTGTGAAAAAATTCAAGCAAATTTAAATATGTAAAAATAATATTTTTACAGTCAATGGTTAAAAAGTTATTCTAATTGTTTATAAGCAAAAAATCGACATGTTTTTGCAAAATTATATTTAAAATTAATTTTCCTAATTTTTTTTATTGTAAATAATAAAACAAGTCTTCTTCTACCAGAAACAACCCTTACAATTTCTAAAACTGAAAAGGTTATTTTCAAAAAGTTATTAACATTTATAAAAAACCAAAATTTTTGACTTATTTTGCAACTTTCTAAACAACAAATAAGGATAGAAACATTTTGAGAACGCCATTTTAAAGGTTTTTATATAACTTATAAGTTTCCTCTCTTCTAAAATTTGTTTAAATTGCTTCACTTTTTGCTGATAGACGAAAAAAGCAAAAATTTTCCGTTTTTTGAAGTTAATTTGTTAATAACTAATTAAGTCCAAAAAATCGACTGCAGGAAACATATAGGTTTTTGTTACAGAGGTCCACACTACTCAAAACAACTGTCGTTTGCCTGGCCGGACGAGTGTCATGAAAAAATGCTTCTTTCGCTGGGCTATTTTGTTTGACCACTTATGCCCGTTTTTTATATTTTAGCACCGTTCCCAAAATTACGATTAATTGAGATATAGTGAGGTGTTCTCACCTAATGTATTCTCATTATACGCTCTATTTCATCGTTTTTTCCATTTGACGGTAAATGTTTTCTTGATGTCATAGTGCTACAATTAAATAAAATAATGATTACTTCTTCTTCTTTTAGTACCCTGTCCGATTATCGAACGTTGGCGATCATATTGGCAATAATATCTTTGTTTACAGCGGCTCTAAATAAATTAGCGGTGGTTTCTTGTTACCATTATCGGATATTTCGGAGCCAGGATGTTCTTCGTCGGCCTGGGCTTCTCCATCCGGCGAACTTACCCTGTATTATGAGGTGTAGAAGGTAAAATTTAATAAAATAATATTTACTACAAATATAAAAAAGAATTAGATAATGACTTACCAAAGACGTCACCGGCGTCCAAAAAGGGGACTTTCGTAAAATTGACGACGTGCCATCAAAAAATCTAATAATGTAATAGTTATGAAACACACACCCACCACCTGTTAAGTCAAGATTAAAGAAACAGCTACTAAGGAATGTATGGGCCTTAGACAAGGAAAGAGAGAGGACGCGTAACCGTATCGCTAAAAGTGAAGCCAAACTGCCACCAGAGGAAGTGGTTAGCAGCGTATCTTTGTATTTTTAAGATTGACTAATTCGTATTTAAAATGAATCATTTTTGTACATTAAATGTTTTATTTAATTTATTTTATCTTATACAAATATTTTGAAATCAAAACTAACAAAATTTATTTATTTATTTACTTTTTTTATGGAATTTTAACCCTCAACGCACACCACCACAGGCAAATCATCATATTGTGTGAGTGAAATTATTAATTATAATTTAATTACTGAAATAACTATGCATATTTAGCATTCTTATTTACAAATTTAGATCTCACCTTTCCTTAAAATACTAATTTAAATTGGTTTTGAGGTTTAAAATTGAAATAAAAAGTAAAATCAATTATTACCTAATTGCACTATTATAAATATTTACCTATGAAACGATATTCCTGGTGTTTTTTGCTCGCTGCGATTTTTACAAAGAATATACGTACAATTCACCATTTTGTTAAGTAAAAAAAATCTGTGTTAAAAAACCACAAAAACAAAACAGTTGTCACATGTATTGTTTGCCACCAAAAACATGGCGGACACATCGAAAAGAGGCTTCACTTTTTGAACTCTTTCCTTGTCTAAGGTATGGGCACATGTATGAGCATAGGTTACGCGATTGCATCCAAACTGCGACGAAAAGCGAGGAGCGTCGTCAAATTTACGATAGTCCCCCTTTCTAGGGTTACCTTAAAGCGTTTTTAAAGTCCCCTAGAAGGAAAGTGATTTTACTTTTCTTGGCGTTGGACATTAGTTATTTTAGTTCGGCGTAAACTGTAAGAATAAATTTTCCACTTCTAGTTTATCAGCGTTTATTACTTTATATTCATATTCAGCTTTCGCGATATGTTATTTAGTGGTACGGAGTTAGGACCCAACAAACTGTTTTAGGGTCTAACATAATCTTCTTCTTCATGTACCATGACCTTTCAGAAAGTTGGTGACCATCATAGCTATATTAATTTGATTCACTGCCACCCTAAATAGCACGCTTGTATCAACACAATACCAATCTCGCAAGTTCTTCAACCATGAGGTTCTTCTTCGTCCTGGACTGCGTTTGCCTGCTATTTTTCCTTGCATGATATTTTGTAGCAACCTATATTTGGACTCTCATTACATGTTCGAAATACTCCAGCTTTCTCTAACAAAATATTAACACCATTAGGACATCTTCAATCGGAATTTACAGAGTAATTACTATTTTATTGGAAATAATCCACAATTGAAGTTTAAAATAATTTTATTGACGTTTCAATTTCCTCTTCGAAAATCGTTCTCAAAATACAAACATTAATAAATTTACCACATTAAAAACAAATTAAAATAGTAATTGCTTTAAGATGCCATAATAAAATAACTTCATATCAATATTACAGAGTAATAAACAGAAAAGCTGTCCACTTGGACTCTACCGCTGTTGGGCTATCTTCTTTCACTTATTCCAAGAATATTTATTTCCAGCCTGCGTATATTTTGATTTAGGTTATGTAAATGTCCCTACATATACAAGCTTGTATCAATCCATGTGTCTTATTACAACAGTTATTTGATGTTATTTTTGTATAAATAAATATGTACATAGGTAGTTTAAAACATCCACAGTATATTTTTTTAACTTTCAATAACATTTTTTCATACATTATTTATTTGAAAGCTTTTGGACAATTAATTTATTTGGTAGAGAAACTAATCAGTTTTTAATGTAATAATGTATAAATAATTGGACTTTGCCGGTGATAATACAATCGTTATATTCGATAACATTCTAGCAAATTTAGCTATGCAATTACCAATTAATTCTGGATTACTATATTCCCGGACTGTAGAAATTTTAGGTATATGCCATAAATATCCAATTAAACAATTGCCAAATAGCAAAACTTGAATAGGTAGGAAAATAAAAATGTTTTTATTATTTTTTAGTTTATAAGTTCGTTGTAAGCTTTTTATTAATATGAAGGATATTCTTTTGCATAATCGTAAATGTTAGGTTGAAGATAATCTAAGGCTAAATAGTCTAGTTGATCTATTTGAACCTTGATTTAGCAAGATATTTTGCTCGTCAACCTAATCCAGTTAACCTTTAAATTTTCAGTACAAGACTCTTTTTGTAAGAAAATGAAATAAAGGATTTGTTCAAATATATTTTATAGCGTAATATTTATTGTAAATCTCTTAAGAGGTATTATTTTACCAAGAAAAAACTAAAAAATATACATCATGAAATAACAAAAAGGAAGAATTATATAAGTAAAATTTCTATAAATTTTTATTCACATTTTTCTTATTATTCTTTGTTGTTTTCATCATTTTTATTATCTTCGTCATCAAATTGTCCCGGTATTTTTCTTTGATATTTCTCATGTAAATTATCCATAGAATAGTATACCAAGCAGCTCAGTGCTAATGCTTAAATAAATAAAATCTCATTAATTTACTCAGTATTGTACTTCGGAAGAATAAACTTAAAATAATTGCAATTAAATATATCGGCAAATATTAAATAAAACCATAATTCACAAAATCACGCGTCGTAAGTGGTAAAAAGTAGCCGAAATCACGTGTCTAACAATGTAACAAAAGAATGTTATATTTATGCTTATAGTAATAAAAGTAATACATTAGATCACCACTATACAAACCAAAAAACTGGAACACCTAGGTTACGTGATCAAATATGAAATTTTTAGACTCATAATATAGGGAAAGATTCAAGAAAGAAGATCTGTTGGCCGAAGGCAGAACTCATGGTTGAGGAATCTACGTGATTGGTATCAATGCAGATCGATTGATTTGTTTAGAGCAGCAAGTTCAAAAATAACAACAGCCGTCATGATTGCCAACCTCCGCAGACAGACTCCTACGTCAGAGTGCCGTCTTCTCGACGAGAAGAAGAAAATTAGATCTAGTTTATAAAATAAGTTGTTATTCGCATTAATAATGTGTAGACTGAGGGATGTGCGGAAGTTGACTTTATACCTAAAGATGTAAAATACTCAAATAAGTATATTTTTTTTAATTTAGAACAATATTAAATTATTTGGTAGTCAATAGAAAGAGTGCTAGCAGATATAGTCCTTTTCCATCATATTGATAGCACATTGTGTATACAAATCCTCAACAGGTCAAAAAACCATAGGCGTCACTCTATACTTGTTTTGAAATAAATAAAAAAAATTAATATTTTAAGATGCCGTCAACAATTCATTATCTTTTAAAAAATCTTCTGTAAAATAAGTGTCCACTAATTCCACTATAAATTTTTTGTGTGTAAAAAACGTCGGTATATATGCCACACAATTTTTGTTAATTATACACGGGTGATTAACGAGTGAATTCAATATTTTACGAAATAAATTAATGTAAACAGTAATTTAAAGGTGATTATTGTTTTCTACACAAGTTATTGCCTGACACAAAAAGAATACCTTCTTTGAACAATTACCTGAAATTACTAATAAGGCTTCACTAATGATAGTTTAAGTAGTTTTTTTGCCACATTGCAGCTTATGCCAATAATATAAATTAGAAATTGTTTGCATCTTCCATTTAGTTTGTAGATGTACATTGTTCATGTCTTACCTACCCACGTTTTTGGTGTCGATATTTTGTAATTTGCATTTAAAAATGACGTCGACAACACCTTAACCGTTTTATCCCGGTTAAGTGTAGTTTCAAAGGTGCCTTTATTCTAAGAGAGAAAAATATAATATTAAATATACACGATGCACTTGTACATCAACGCCCTTTAAGTAATGTTCGTGAAATCGTTAACATGTGTTCAAATATGACAGGTGTTAGAGAAGTAACAATTTATAGATTCCTAAAAGAAAGAAAAGGAGGAACTGTTTTATCTCCCAAAAAGGGTGGAGGGAGTAAACCCTTGGAAATTAAAGAAATACATAAAAACATGATAAGACGCAGCGTCCACTCATTTTTTTTTTAACAAAGAATTTCCAACATTGGACAAAATCCAAACATTAATTATAGAAAACGAAGAGTTACCAATCATAAGCAACAAGAAATTATGGGGACTATTGAGAGATATGGGATTTCGTTGGCAAAAGAATAGAAGAAAATCTGTTTTAATTGAAAAAGATTACATTGTATGTTGGAGACGAGATTATCTAAGAAATATTAAAAAGTACCGAATGTAAATCTGAAAGTACCGCAGTGAATCTAAAATGGAATTTGATTAAAATATTATTAATTTTATTTACAAATCGGCCCCTGTTACGGCCACAAATTATTTTATATATAACCAATAAAATAAACATCTTACATTTCTTGCAAATTCATTAGTACCTCTTAATCTTCATCACTCAGACACTGGCAACTTTATTTAGGGATTAGTAACCCTCAAAACTATTGTATTCTATTCTGCTTCAACCTTTATACCTGGTGGTCATACTCAATTTAAAATTGTTTTCCTATATACTTCTGTAAACTTGTCTGTTGACAAATATCTATTTTTCAATGAGTCACCCGTATCAACAGTTTAGGGATTTGCATACATAATGTGCTATCAATATGATGGAAATGGACTATAGTTGTTTGTTTTGAATGTACATAATGTCTTAAACGCCAAAACGTGTTTATTTGGAAGAAGTTATACATCGAGTTATGCATGACATAAATCATATTATTACCAATACAATACTTCCCGCAATTAATTCTACGTATTAAAAAAAGCTCTACAAACAAAAAAGCAAGCATTATTCATGCCCTTAGAGAGCATTCTGATCTTGTCGTAGGGATGCGCGGTCACTGTCAACACTACTGTAAAATGTGTACATCCAAATTGAAGCTAAGTATCTATCCATTCCTTAGCTTGTCGTAGGACAAGAATTAATAAAAAACAAAGATAGTAACCAAGAGCATAAGCTGTCCATAGAGGAAAATATTTTAAGTATGCGTTTAAGTAAAAAAAGAAATTTAAAAGCAGAAGCTAAAGGCTACAAACCTAGTTGTAGTGTATACAAACCGATATTTTTCAGTATTTGCATTAATTTTACATGCTGTACTTTATCGAATGCCTTTTTGAAGTCGACAAAACATGCAAATACATTTTTTCTTTGGTCAGGGCATTTTTGTAATAGGATGTTAAGCGCAAAAAGTGCCTCCCTGGTTCCCATAGCATTTCTAAAACCAAATTGGGTATCTTCAATATCTTCTTCGCATTTGCGTCCAATTCTGTTGTGAAGTATTCTGAGAAAATTTTAAGAGTGTGGCCCATTAGGATAATTAATCGATATTCTGAGCATTTTCTTGCATTGTGTTTTTTAGGTATTGCGACAAAGATGGATTTGAGCCAATCTGCGGGAATTACTCCGGTGTTTCTAACATTGAATTAAACAGTCTTACTAGTACTTTTATGTTATCATTCTCTATTAGTTTCAGCAACTCAGTTGGTGTATCATTTGGACCACAAGCTTTTCTAATTTTAATTCTAAAAATTTGATTATATCATTCTTATATTTAGTGGAAATATCTCTCTTATCTTTCCATTTACCAATCATTGTGTCATTCGCATACTTTGCTATAGTTTATTTATTTTTTTTGTCAACACTGTGTCCTTTACTTTCCGGGGAAAGTAATTTCTATTAGCTGGCGTTGTTCCTGTGCGATGCGTTTTTTTATATGTGCTAGTTCTACAAGCTATGTCCAACACCTAAAAATTCTTCCATTACATTTAGGACAACCTTTTCTGTGTGTCCTTTTCCTCTACAATGATGTAAGATGTCTGTGTAAACCATGAATTTTAATACTACTCCTCCAGATGTCGTCAACATATATAATTTTATTTCATATTAGTGGCGTTTGTTTTTTATATATTGGCAAAAACTTCGACGACCACGCTACAGCACCTTGAATTTATCGAGTAAAAGTTCACGTCCTGGGTAATATATTTGAGGCATTCGAGAGTTAAAATAATTAATAACATAGCTTACTTTATACAACCTGTCCGCTGGAGTCACTTCACCATCCCGAGGATTTTCGGCAAAATGTAAGGATCGCAGTAGTAAAAGAAAACGATTTCTACTAATAATATCTGCAAATATTCTAAAGCTAAATAGATAGTCAGTTTTCCAATAATTTTAATCCGGTTTAGATCAATATTCCCATGTGCAATAATAATATCACAGATACAAGTAATTCGTCTCGAGTAACATTTTTCCACATTGTAATACGTGATTTTTCTTTTGTAATCGGTCTCACTAACAATTCTGTTACGTAACAACAATACTTAATATTTTTAGTCTATTTTTGTATCATATTATTTAGTTTATTTTTGTATCATACTGTATATTAGTTTAGATATATAAAATTTCTTTGTACTAACTAATAATCTGTAAAGCGCCGTTATCTTGCATTTAAATAACTTTCTACACAAGTTTCTAAAACCTTCATAGAATCGTAACAATGAAAGGATTAGTATTTTCCAAATTACCCTCTGACGCATTCCAAAATTCCGCAAGTTGAGACAAATACCCTTATCAGGTAGTTTTTATCAATGATTTGAAAGTTAAAGGTATTTGAAAAATAAACATATCTTTTAATACGTCGAGGGGTCAGGGGGAGATTTCGGAATGTTTGTGATTGAGGGGAGAGAGTGGACATCAGTTCGCAGTTCAAATCCATCAAATCAGTATCAGTTCAAATTCCAGCACTGAAGGAGCGTCAGGCTCTACTCGCCCCAGCGGCATATTAGTGTTTTAAACCAGTCGGTATATTAATAAGTTCGTGTCAATATTGTATCACCGACAAGTGTGTATCATATGCAAGTTATCGGCGTTTAAAATACATTGTATTTGTTTAAATATATTTGTTCAAACGTTCTTTTCGAATCTTCATTTTTCCCAGTTTTCTGGGTGGTCCTTCAAAGAAATATATATATATATATATATATATATATATATATATATATATATATAAGTAACTATTTCCTAAGAAAAACCTTGTTCCCCAAGGGAAAAAACCAGCGACCTATTACTGGTGCGTGAAACAAAGCCATCAGGACAAAGGTGTAAGGACAAACACCTACATCTTCGCTCAAATTCAACAGCATAGTTATTTGTTTGTGTAACAATTTCAGACATTGAATGTCTGAAATCATAAAATGAGCTAAATATTAGCACTAAATTAGTAACAAAAAATTTCAGGTAAACTGGAACTTTCATTTCCTGGAACTTCAAGTAAACTCGCAGCCTTCGTAAAAGGAAAAAATTTCATAGATCCTGAATCATTCTTCCATTAAAATTCTTCTATGTTTGCTGGTTGATAAACTGTTTGAGTGATTTGTTCATCTATATCGTTTTCTGAGTCTAAATGCTCTGAAGGTAAAAACTCGTCATCACTGTTATAATCAAAATCAGATTACTACAGCATTATCAGACAACTGTTCTTCC